AAAGTCTTTTTCAATCGACAAAAGAATTTTTCTAATTAAAGCAACTCGCCGTTTTTTCTCCTGAAGACATCGCCTACATGATTTTCAGAAAAAGAAAGAAGAACATTTCAAATTAAAAAACGATTGATGACGACGTTTTATTCATAAGCAAATGTTAAATCGAGTGAAAGAAAATTGTTCGAAACATTCAAGGATACTGACTGAAGATAGTTGACCGTGAAACGATAATTTCGTTTATGTTATTTTAGTCTCTTTTTACCCTACAACACAATGATAAGATAAAGGACTATTGAATTTCTTTCTTCTGACGTATACTTTGATCAATAAAATGGATTTGATCAAATGCGGAGCGATTTGTTTTTGTAGAAATCAGTTTCTCGTGCTTTTCATAGTCGAATTCGACATTACTTTAATAATGAAACACAGCAGACGTCAGGAACTTAAAAGAACCTTGAATAGCGACGAAGTTGAAGAGATATTTGTGTTGCTCTTTCTTTCTCTCTCTCTTTTTACATCAATTAAAGTTTTATTAGTATTTCTTTTTTGCTCTTGTAATGATTATTATTTTTTTTCTCTCGTTTAAACTGCTTGACAGGTAAATTTATACAGCCAATGGCGAACACTCTATATGTTCGATAGGTGAAAGTAATAAATGACCAAAAACATGCTGTTTTGAAAGTATTTCTTCTGTAGATCAAACAAGGCCATTAATTCGTGAGTCTACTCTACTATTTCAGGATTATTTTATTAGAAAAGGATTTATTCGTAGAAGAAATTTGATATAGAAATAGTCGATGAAAAAAAAAACTAGTCGTTCTCTTCGTCTTAACCAATTTTATTAGAAGATAATGACCATGACCTTGTTACAGATATGATTACGTCATCAACTGCCTTTTCTAGTTCTAGGTTGTTACATAACGCAGTTTTTTTTTCTTTTCACTCGGACCCATTTGATGTATTCAGTCGACTTGTGATAGAATGGAAGAAACTATATTTCTGTCGATGTGTTCAACATACATATGTGTGTGCGCAATGAATTTCTTCGTCTATATAGTTTCTCGTTCTTTGCTCTCTACCTCTCTCTGTCATCCTCTCGAGAATCGATGTGGAATTACGAAGTGAACGGCTAAATATTCTGCAGAAAACGAAAAGAAAAGTGGAAAGAATAGGCAGACGGACGAAATGCGCTTTATGATGACTTAGAAACGTTTATTGTACATTGCTGTTCGTCATTTGCTTACGTACTTGTAGTTCTCGTCACATAGAAGCTGTCTGGATATTATTGATTATTGTGTACTTGTGTAAGTACGAAAAGACCTTGACTTACAGGCGTTCTCTGTGTTTCACGATCTCATTTCACGGAAAGAACAAGTGTTTGTCGTTGGCTAACGCGCACATTTTCTTTTTTTTGTAATAAAGCCAAGATGTCAACACGAAGAGAATAAAGATTCGGAATAAAATATCGTTGTTTGTGATTGATTAGAATAATAATCAATAAACCAACAAGTTTTATTTCATAATCTTCGTTTTCTCTCTCTCGATATTAGTATCTAATGTGCTATTCATCAAATTTCATTATCAATTGACAAGAATTTTCATTAGTTTTCTCTAGAACATTATCACCACATGTCACTTCTTTTGTTTGGCAAAAAACTCGTATCACAATACTCGCATCTGTGGTTCTCCGTCTCTTTTTTTCTTCTTCTTTTTCTTTCATCATAGTCATATCACTGTGGTTTTGTTACGAAAATATAACAGAGGAGAGAACACGATGCAAATGAACTTTGTTCCTTAACTTTTTCTTACTTTTATATTATCTGCTGCACGACTTTACTTATCTATTAACCCTTCTTCGCTCGATACGCAATCAGACTCATGCATTCGCTTGCATAAGAACAGAACAATAAAGAATGAAGGTTAAACTATTGTTTCCTTTAGTCGTGCGTTGTTCTACTCTTTCGACTGATTATAATGGTTACGGATCGATAAGTTGTATAAATATTCTCTACACATTAAACTTTTTTTTTTCGTACTCATTCGCTTTTTTTCTATGAAACGGAAGCTTTTTATGTGCATTGTTTGTAGAATGACTTGCGGATTTTTGCTGTTCGGTTAGCGATTTTACGAAGTCAATGAGGCAATCTGATTCGAAACCTTGATACACTGCGGTTTTACTCTTACTTTTGACATTGTATTTCTTTTAGGTTTTGAATACGAACGTATTTTAGACAAATATTTGTTTCTCAATTTGATTGCTCGTCGAGTGGATTTTAAATATGGCAGCTAAACAAATACTGAAGAAGAAACATCTAGAAGAAGAGGAATTAGCTAAATTAAAAAAACTGGATGACAACTCTGTTCAAGAGGAGTATGAATATGTGGCTGTGCCTCCTGACGGTGGTTTTGGCTGGATCGTGGCCATTGCAGCTATGGTATTCACTTGAATTTCTATTCTATACGATGCTAATGATCTATTAATTTTCTATTCAGTTATGTAATCTCATATGTGATGGCACTCTATTCGCTTTTGGCACAATGAAGATTCACCTTCAAGAGTATTTTAAATGTTCGGATATGTTGATTTTGATGGTTGGCTCTGTTCCATGTGGTGTTTACTTGTTGGTTGGTTAGTATGATAAAAGAAATGCGCAGATACGAGTACAGTCGATGGAAATTTGTTTTCAATTGTTGTGTTTAGGTCCTATTGTCTCAGGTTTAGCTAATAGATATGGCTGTCGACCAATAATCATTATTGGAAGTGTTGGTGCAGCAATTTGTATGGCTTTGTCAACTCTCTCGCCTAATGTTTGGGTAATGATGATAGTTTACGGTGTGTTTGGCGGCATATTTTTTGGTATGGTCTATCTCCCGTAAGTAGAATTGTATTTACAAAATTCAGTGAACTTGACTGTCGTTGCTCGGAATTTAGATCGGTAGTTATGGTTTCGTTTTATTTCGACAAGAAACGATCGATTGCCAATGGTAAGAATAGTTCGCCGATGGAAAAGTGCGTTGTTTTCGACTGATGTATTCTTTTGTCTTTAGGTTTGGTCACAGCTGGTACTGGTCTTGGTGCGTTATCTTTCGGTCCATTAGCTGATCTTCTAATGTCTAAATTTGGTTGGAAAATTGGCATGCTGATATTCGCTGGTATAATGTTAACAGGTATTCTATTCGGATTAATCATGAGACCGTTGGAACCACAAAAAGTACCTGTCAAGCGTGAGATTGAATTACAGTGAGTATTGAAATTATTTTCGAAAACACACTGACATTTGTTTTCCTTGTATAATAGATCACCTGTTACACCTCAGACGCAAAAAAATCAAGATTTATCATCTCCTCAAGCTATTCTCAAAACCACAGATGGAGCCAATGAAGTAAGCGAAACGAAAGAATGTGGTTTAATCCAAGAAAAATTTGCTTTCCTCAGGTATTGTTGCCTACAGCTGATGAATCAGCACGAATTAGTACCACAGCTACAGTACCTGTTGGTGATGTCAATTCAAATGAGGTTCCTGCTGTCACAACCGTTGATCCTACATCAAGTCCATTGAATCAATCTTCACGAAACCGTACTATATCATCCTCAAGTCATGCATCCGTCGGCAGTGGAGAAAACCGAGTTGGTGTTTCCAATCCCGAAGATGCTTCTCGACCACTGTATAAAAAAGATGCATTTGTCTCTGGCTCAATACAGCAACTTCATCATGCATCTCGCACATCATTGAATAAAACAAATCCGTACATGTCTTCAGTAACAAATATTCCAGCAGCTACAAAGGAAGAAAAAAAGAAAGATTCGGCTGTTAGAGCATTTATCGATATCCTCGGAGCAATGACAGATTTTTCAATATTGAAAAATAAACAAATGTTATTGATTTGCATTGGAAATATTTTCTCCATGCTTGGTTATTATTTACCCATTATGTGTCTGGTTTCATTCGCTGTCGAAGATCTTAAAGTTAACAAAACACATGCATCATTCTTATTAACAATTTTTGGTATGTGTTCAAAAGATCATTGCCATTTCGAAGAACTTGAGGGTGTGTTTTGTTTTTAGGACTCTTCAATACCATTGGTCGTTTTGCTGGTGGACCGATCGCCATGATTCCACATTTGAATGCACTACGAGTTCACAATGCATTACTATTTATGGCTGGTATTTTAACTGTCTTAGCAGCATATGCTTACAATTTAACAACATGTGCTCTCTATGCAGCTCTATGTGGTTTTGCTATTGGTAATAACAGATACGAACTGTAGTTGTATACATCGACCTAACGAAATTGACTTTCTTCTAGCACCTCATATGTCATTATTACCTAGTGTAATCTATGATTGTGTCGGTCTCGATCGTTATACAACAGCTTTTGGTATACTCTTTCTATTCCGTGGTGTAACATCCATTATTGGTCCACCTGCCGCTGGTTTGTTTCTTAAAAAAGAGAAGATTTCGATTGTTAAACTTCATTTTTGTTCTTGCGAATAGGTTTTCTCAAAGATTCTACAAAGAAATATGATATGGCCTTTGCGATTGGCGGTGCAATGATTATCATAGCTTCATTCTTTCATATCTTCATTGCTTTCGTTCAGCCCGCCAGCGAAACTGAAGTAGAAAAAGAACAAGAAAAAGTCCAAAAGAAAAATAAACTCGATGTCTGAATGTTTTCCTCCTCCTCTTTTGTCTCTGTCTCTCTTTCTAGCTTTTTCTTCTATTCAGTCCGTCTTTCAAATAAATCTTGTATTCGTTTGTTTTCTTCTTCGTCGTTGTCGTCTTTTCAACTGAGAATGATTGTGCGTCGCCCATTTTCTTTTTATCAATTAATTTTAGTTTCCTTTTCGTTTGCTTTTTTAACACTGTGATATTCTTCAGTTTCTTTTAGTTCATTAAATCCGTTTGAACGATCTCAGGTTATCAATAAAACAACAACAACAACAAAAATGAAGAAGAATCGTCCTTAAAATAGAATTCTCTGAAGAGAAATTTACATGTATCTTCAAATAGAGTCAATGTTTAATGTTGTCTCTTTGATATCAGCCGATATAAATATTTTCGAATCCATATTGTTTGCCTGCTTTTTTCCTTTCTTCTTCTTTTTCGCAGCGACCATCGGAATATCTGTAGATGCCGAATCGATTGTTCGCAATGATGCTGTTTCCCTTGGATTCGTGAACTTTTTCAGCTTATATGGACAGTTGTGACAACATTGGGTGAATAATTTCAGAAACTCTCGACGAAAGTCTTGCCCGCTTAGTGTATATAGGATAAAATTCATCGCATGTTTTGTATACCAAAGAACTTCGCACACTTCATTGAGCCATTGCGCATTCGGCGGTTGACTGTGCACGATAGGACTACTAAGACCGTCTGAATCGTCGCTAGTAGGTATCCGCATTGAATAAATAATCTTATTTACACATATAATGATAACTGATGGACAAGTTAAACCGATGAATGCTAAAGTAACAGATAAAAGCATAATTGTTAAACGTTGATGACGCCGATGGGATCGTTTGCGATGTTGGCGCATATGCCGATTCGTGCGCATTGTATACATGATAATACCGATGTTCGTGACACAGAGAAGAAAGAATGGAATAACAGCAACAAGTAGAACATCGAAGATGGGAATATAAGTGCCAAAAAACTGTTGAAAGCCGGGACGTGGAATACAGAAAAATACAGATTTGGATTTGCGAGAAGTAAAATCTAGAGTAGTGGAATTTTCCGATGAACTATTGTCGAAATTTTCTGAGTCATTCATGAAATACTGCTGATGGTAATCAGCTGGACGAAAACCATAGTCGGGTACTGTATAACCTGAATAATAAAACAAAAGTGATGAGACATAATGTAATTGCATATTTAAATTCAAATCTCAACTGAATGATTTATTCACAAGAGATGCATTGAAAAGATGAGAACGTTTCTAATCAAATTTCTTTGCCTTACGTGCCTAGAGAAACGGATTTCATAGGTGATGTTTCTCGGTATAACGCAATGGTATTTGTCACATGTCAAATGTCATATTTATTCCATATCCGTTACATAGAAAGAAACAATAGATTTGTGTATGTAAAGGCACTTCCTCCTAGCGGAAATAATTTATTTCCATCCTCGTCATTTTCAACGAAGCAAAAGTTTAGCGTTAATCGAAGATCTATTATTTAAAAAGTAGAAAATAACTTCTGAATGCTGTTTCTTTGCCTCACGCTGTTTATTGAGACATTCAAAGTGAAATAAATTAGAGGAGAGTTCATAAAGGGAAACACAGATAATCCGCCTCGCTAACGTCAATCATAGCAAAATAAACACATTCAACTAGAAAATGAGTTTCTTGTTTGGAATATGTTTGAAGATGTCTAATCAAAGGCAATGTTAAAAATAACAACTTACCGAGTATGTAGAAGTAATACAAATTGCATAAAACAACAACGCCGATAAGTATAGTTGTCGAGCAGAATACTCGATTCGCAGTTGAACTTTGTCGTCGATATCGACTTGTGACTACTAAATATCGATCGAAACTCACTATCACCAGTATCCACGATGCCATATGAGCAAGTGCTGACGAAGAAAACGTTAGAATACGACATATCCATTGCGATGTGTTATAAATAGCGTTAGCGCGAAATGATTTCGTCACGTGCTTACTTGAACGCATAAAAATGAAGAGAATATCAATAACAGCTAAGATTGCTAAATATTGACATGTCGAATTCTTGAAGAACTTTTTACTTAACAATACGCGTAAACATAAAGCATTGCCGATCGTTCCCCAGATAAGTAGACATGGATAGAAGACTCGGCCGAGAAAGTTACGTAGATCGGTTAACGACAAAATCTCCTCATTGTACTGGATATCGTCGTGAGCAGCTGTGAAGTTTTCCATCATCACATCCGTGATTATCCAATCATGTTCGTGAGAGAAAAGTTCAAATAATCTAAAAGTAGTCTATCTCATACATATCAATATATAGACATATTCATCTGAACTTTTGTCTCCCTCGTTTTTCGCTTTTTTCATATGTAAATTAGCGAGTCCACTTACTATGCTGAACGTGCGCAAAACATATCAATGAGAAAATCATGTCTCGTGATCTTTGAGTCAGGAGATAGTTCTCTGAACTAAGCCAGAACTTGACGTGTACTTTTCTACTGCAATATGCAAAATTAGTTAACCTAGAAGTCCTATCTGATATGTCTTGCGTAAATACCGTCGACAAGAAGATCAAGAAATACAGTCTTCGAAAAAAATGACCCACTCATCATCAAAAATATAACAAAATACAAGGGAAAACTCACTTCTCTACCTTGACGCTGTCATTTAAAAAGAAAACGATAATTCTTTAAACAGTATATTGAAAAAGAAAGAAAAAGAATATTTAATATTTGAAAATAGAATAGCGAAGACAAAAGTTTCTTTCTTTTCCTTTATTACTAACAAAGGATACATTAGCTTTCTGTCATTCTAGCATTCTTTTAATGCGATATAAAAGAATTTTAACGTAACACATTTCTTCTTATTCAAAATAGAAACTTATTACGAAATGCAACAATTAACAATATTGTTTATTGATTATATAGAGGGGGAGAGAGAAAAACGTTTTTATCGAATTATATCATTCTTCTCCAAGTAAGATTATAATTTTCTAGAAATAAAAAACAGAGCAGAAACGGAAATTCCTCGAGACCGTAAAAAGTAATTTAAGAGACGTTTGTTCATTTTAGATTATTTGTAGAAGTTGTCTCTCGTTACCTGATCATGACAGGAAACTTTATCGACATGTAAAATGAGAAAAAAGCACACCACAGGGAAGGCATCAAACGTTTTTATCTCATTATTAACTTAATTAGATCTAATTTGCCGACACTAAAACCCTTTTACCTATTTGTCTGGCTAAGAAAACGAGGAAATCAGATTTAAGAGCATCAATTATCCATCAGAAAACATACGAACAATGAACAATCATCGACATACAATTTGTTACCAGAGGGACTAGCAAAAGAAATTCGATGCCAGTGTAGATATAATTATCGAAAACTTACTTAGATAGATTAATATTTACACACATGTTGTCGGCGACATCGAGATCCATTTAAGTTAGCGACCCTAGTTCGAGTCGGTCTAGAAATGAAGTTTGCTTTTCTTCTCCTTCTTATGCTTCTTTTGTTTCTCTGTTACACTTGCAGACAGACAAAACTGATTAAAGAAAGCACAGAAAAATGACAAGGAAAAAAGGAGAAAGAAAACGAAGAGGCGGAGACAACAAATAGAGAAAAAAAAGTAACCAGAAGTTAGAAAAGAAGAAATTATGATGATACTGTCAGTGTTAATGATAATGATGAGCCGAGATCACAGTGACAAAATCAGTAATTTGCTCGCTGACTACACTGCATTTGTTTTGTTGTTATTTATTGCTTTACTTCATCCGTATTCAAAATTCCACCAGCAACTCACACGTATACTCGATTCATTTCAATACAGCATCGAACTTAAAATAACTTCTATCCTAAGAGAATAGGACGTCGTATGTTTACAAAAGCGACATATCACGCGGGCTTTTCTAAGTTTTTCGCAAGAACTGTCAAATAAAATACTTTGCCTTTGCATATCCTCGAAGCATCGAGAAAAATGCGTTTTCAAATAGTTCCAACCAATTTATTCAAATGAAAGCATTCCTGAGTGTTCTCTTCTAATTGATTATTAAACATATAACTTCATCTTATATGAATACCTTCATTCGTCAAATGACAAACACCGTCATGTATGTTTTCCCTTTGAAGAATCATGACTGAATCAAATTTCATCCGGGAGTTCTTTGTCACCTTTTGTTCCAGCCCAACTACAATTATCGACATGTGATAGAAGAGCGATTCTTTCATGTATGTAATCATAGCAGTTCGATCATCCGAAAAATTCGTAATAGAAAACAACCTGAATCATAAATATTAAAATACGAAGACATGACGTCGCTTCAGCGACACTTATTACACAGTAGGAGATGATAGAATTGTAACTAACATTAAGGTTCACCAACATCAACCTTTAGGAGATGAAAAATTTCATGGCACGAAATGTTAACCAAGGACTATTCATAAATTAGATTAGACGTTTCATACTGCTCAAGTTCTTTTTCTCTACACGAATATAGATACCGTCAGAATTTGACAGAAACTTAATCATCTATATTCAATATGCCATTATTAATCCATCAACATGAAGAAAAAGTCTTCTAGAACTAGTTTTGACAATAACATTTTTTTTCATTACATGTCAATGAGACCAGGCAGTAGATAATCAGTATAATAATCATCTCTTCTTTGTCATGAGATTCCTTAACGAAAGAAGAATATTAGTCATTCTAAAAACAGTATTTATTAGGTACAAGAATGATCAGGTTTTCGCCAACGGAATACTTCAATCCTTTCTCATCTTCTCCCACGAATTTCTGAATTTTTCACTAATTTATTACTCTTTACAAAAAAAAAGACTTTTTCTACGAAGAAACGAAAAGAAAATGTCATATTTTAGTAAAAGAAAAAGTATGTTATGAATTATAGAATTGAACCATTATATAGGATCATCGATGGAAACAAAATCTTCATCTCAGAATTGTTTTGTGTTTATTAATAGATTGCTTTGCCTTGCCTTGAATTCATTAAAACTCATGAACTAATGTAGATTAATTTTTATTACAACACGATAATTATATTGGTCTCCAAGCGATGATTACAGACTTGATGAATTCGATAATTCATACGAATGAGCGGCGTTTCCAATCAGGTACATCAAACTAGTTTTATGTCACATATTTACAATTCGTTTTGTGCTAGTATTTGTCAAATACTTTTAAACTCTTCAATCGACCAATATTTTCATGACTGAACAAGAAAATCATCGAAATATCTATTTGCTAAGCATTACCGATGGTTAGACTTTGTTAGCCAAATATTAATCCTTGTTGCTGTCTAAAGCATTTCCTGTTTTGACATTTTTTAAGCTCAATAACAACTACTAATTTCGAAAGAACAACCGAGAGGCGTTAGTTCATAGGATGTATCCTATTATTATCATTTACGTGAACTAATTGTCGATGGAGTGCACTGTTCACTTGCATCAAGATTGAAAGTATGACGGCAGAAATTGATATTCTTTTCTGCCGAGTTCCGGAATACGAGACTGGCTTAGTGTTTTATTAGATAGAAAAACTTAGGTCAAGGTATTTCGTACGAAAACGGCTGTTTCTTTTTTCAGTTGCCTCGGGAAAAGCCTTGTCTTGTCAGCTTTTGTGGTATCTTTTAGTGAATATTGTCAACTAAGGAAAGAAGAAACGAGGGCGAAAGAAGTTAACGACGTGAGTAAAATACTTCGCTGAATGATTCAGTCAGATGGGATAATAGATTGACAAAGTTCATCTTTTGATTTAGTAGACTAGTAATGAATTTTAATTTCCATAATAGATTCCACTCAGCGGTTTGAATCAAGTGTGAAAGAAAATGCAATAGACGATGAATAAAGTATATCAAGTAGTTCAGGAATTCGTTTGAAGAAGGCAAAAATTGGTAACAGAAAAGAGATGAAGTCATTCACGAAAAATCATAAGTACGAAAATCAATTTAGGAAATGGACTTTTATTCGATTAGCTACTATTCTTGTACATTTTCATTTATTCATCAATATTCGGTGGAATGGAAAATTGGAAATGTTGAATAACCAATAAGGAAATCATAAACTGATTAACAAAAACAAAATTATCAAGAATATCTTTGTCGGTGAAAGAAGAAAGTCCCAAAGAGATATGAGATTCATGTCATTTTGCCAAGCTCGAATTTTTTGAATAGTTCACTAGCGGTGAATATAATTGAATCAAGGATACTCGCAACAGTGAATGAACCACCTACAACAGCACAGATCGAAGTAATGAAGGTATACAACTTTTGTCGATGTTCAGTATATTTCACTGTAATCGGCTACACAGAAAGAAAAATGTAGTTCAATCAAATATATTAAACCTCTTACCATAATATCATAACGGAACCAAATAGCAGGCACTCCTCCATGATGATTTGGATTAAATTCCTTAAAATAACAAAGTCAGACTAGTGTTGATAATAGACGAAGTTGTGCTATTACGGGAGGGGAGGTGGTTCAACTAACCCGATAGAAAAACGTGAATTGAAACGGATATCGTCGTTGTCCACCTCGATGTTCATAGATTGTTGGTACAATCTTTAATGAATAGTCATGTGAAGCATGAGGAGGACGGTCCGTATTATTAAAACGTCTCAATGGACGGAATGCTCTACGGTTTGGAATTTGTTTAAAACCCTTCGAATGGATATGAAAACTAGTTTATTACGTGAATCATTTCGAAGTAAATGTACTTTAACAGTATCACCAAATGTTAATTCGTGTATCACATGTTTCATATTTCCATTGGGAGGTTGAATTTGAGCAGCATGTGTCGAAACATGAAAATTACCGGGCACACGTGCAATCGAAAACGTTGCATTGATTCGGCAACCTCTATCACCATTTTCTGGAATTTTCACAGTATTTTCATGAAAAGCAAGATCATGTCGGCCAAGATCATCCTGAATGTCAATACCAAGATCTAAATTTATCGTCACAAAAGATATTTTCGTAATCAACTTCGAGTTCTTGGGTCCTCTTACATTGACAACCAATGTCTATTATGCTAATATCGAGATTGACAGGTACTCGTTCAGCTACTCCACTTTCGGGTATGTCAACATACAATTCACTTACACTAAAAAAAGAACGTAGATGTTAGTTCGTTTAGATGCTATTTAAAAGTTTCCTTTCTTACATGTCAGGCGTAATGAAGTCATAAAGTTCGATGAGAAGTAGTGTGGAAATGAATGATATGCAAATAAGTGATATCGCAGCGCCAGTGTTGGTGGGCTGTGTGAGATCTTTAGGGACTTTTCGATAAATGTCGAATCTAGAAATGCGAAAAGAAAATGCTTGATTAATGATAAAGCGACTCTGACTACCTTCGTATGTCGAATTGCATATTCGACAAATCGATCTAGAATAGGAAGGAGTTGATGAAAAGAAAAATGTGACATAAAACGAGAAATACAATCGAAACGAAAAAAAAATACATCTATTATGTCAGGTTTTCTTCTTTATTCTAAGTGACTAAAAGATAAGTTCGATTAAAAATTAAGCATTGATTCTGATTTGTTGTTTGCTATTAGCATATTCGGATTTTCCATATATGATCGAAATGCTTGAAGAAACAATGCGCTTGATTGAGGATCACATGCACGAGCATCGTAGGATAAGGTAACAACTAGTTGATTCTCTGATTTTAGATCATCACCATTGCATCGAAGAAGATTTTGACCAATAGCTAATATACCAATCTGTGGAGGATTAATGACTGCAGAAAATGATCGGATACCAAACATGCCTAAGTTGGAGATTGTGAATGTTCCACCTTGAAATTCATTGGGTTTCAATTTGCCATCTTTAGCTTTGCCTGCTAGTTGACGCACCTGTCCATTGATGTCTTGAATCGACAGACGGTCAGCATTGAATACAATCGGTGTTATAAGGCCATTGTCAGTGGCAACTGCAACACTGATGTCAACGGTTGATTGGAGTTTAAGGCCTTGTTTATCTTCATAGACGCCATTCATTTGTGGAACTTGCTTTAAAGAGAAAAAGAAATTTATAGTATAATTTTGAAGGAGTGATCGTGTGTCAACGTAGACTATCGAAGAAACAACTGGTATGCTAATATTCGACGATTATTATTAAAATTATTAAATTCGTGTGAACAGATGTAGAATACTATTCTAACCTGCGATTCTCTCGACAAGCGAAATTTACTTACACGGAGTGCGGCTGCTACTGCTTTAATGATGAAATCATTTACAGACACTTTAACGGTTGCTTTTGGATCACTGACCATTTGTTTACGTAATTTAAGTACTTGATCAACATTTGATGTTACACTTAAATATTGATGAGGTATATTGGTTTTCGAATACGTTAAACGTTTCGCAATAGCACGACGAATCGAAGAGATTTCGATGTCATGATATCGACGTCCTCCAGCTTCTG